TCTGTCTGTCTGTCTGTCTGTCTGTCTGTCTGTCTGTCTGTCTGTCTGTCTGTCTGTCTGTCTGTCTGTCTGTCTGTCTGTCTGTCTGTCTGTCTGTCTGTCTGTCTGTCTGTCTGTCTGTCTGTCTGTCTGTCTGTCTGTCTGTCTGTCTGTCTGTCTGTCTGTCTGTCTATCTATCTATCTATCCATCCATCGTCTGTCTGATCAGCAGGCAGCAGAAATATCTGGACTATTTATTTTGTTTTATTTGCTTCCTCAGAAGAAAAGTGAGCGTGTCTGTCCACGTACTGACATCAATCTGTTTTTCTGTCGCTGCAGGTCGGTGAGTTTCGTGCGCATGCAGCCGAGTGGACAGCAAATGTATCGGCGGAGTTCAAAGAGACCCGCAGGAGGCTCAGCGTCGACATCTACGACCGGTTCCAGCGAGCTGCGTCCATCAAACGCAAGCTGTCGTCCGAGCTGGGAATTAACGCGACCATGAACCAGGAAATGACCCCTGGGAAGAGGACGCTGTCAGTCAACCTATGCGAGGACAGAGAGGCTTACTCCAACATGACACTTTCTCTCAGTCCGGTTCCAGGAGCTCTGAGCAGGAACGGAAGCTTCTGTTTGAACGGCCTGAGTCCAAACCACGCCGACAGACGGGAGATTGCCATCATTGAAAACCTGAAATGAGGAGCATCTTCAAAATGACTTTCAGTGGACGAATTATCTGGCGTGGGAGACTAAAAATACGGTGCTTTGGTGCACAGCAATTTACTAAAAACAAATAAGGTACCCAAACACGTTCATGAATCAGAATGTTTTTGTGATTCATCAACTGAAGCACAAGCGTGCTTTTATGTTTCCCTCTCAAACACGTAAAGAAGGTGGCATTCAGTGATGAATGAAGTCGGACTTGAATTATGGCCCTTCCAGCATTCTCTGAGCTGAATCAGCGACAAAACCAAATGGAAAGTGTGCTTTCAGACTAAAACAAATGATTGTTTCAGAGACGTGATTAAAACAAATTTCTCTCATCAGCTGAAAGAGAATGAGCATCTATTCAGACGTGGCAGCCTACCTATCATCTTCTTTCTCCCCATTTCCTGGAGAACATAAATGTGTAGAAATATACGAAGCAATAGATGCATTTGTGTCTCTTCTTGGATTTCCAGAGTCCCTGAAATCTGGATCAGATTGAGGATCCTGCTGGTAAAAAAAACAGCTTTGTGGACCTGTGGTTCTTTGCAGGCTGCAGCTTGGCATCAACACAAGGAATGTCACTTTGGACCACATCCTTCTTCTTTCACTATGAATTTATATGCCTTGCATTTGCTTCTGTCACTTGAGACAAATGTTGACATTTTAGTTTCTTAATGAGCAGCGTTCATCTATTTATCTAACAGAATAATCCACTGGTGCCTTACTGACAACCACACTGAACACGTGAGGGCGTATGACAGACTGAGCATCGGCTCTCCACTTGTACTTGTTAAATTTGTGCACAGCAGTAATTTTGTATTTGAATGTGTCTTGGATAATAAGGATACCTTTTAATCTCCTTAGATGCCGGTAAGACAGGAGTCTACAATGTGTTTGAGAAATGAATGGAAAAACTAGGCATGGGCCAGTTTTAAAAGATAAAAAACAAATTGGTTTCAAAACCACTAGAATGTTTCATCATCCTGTTCCTTCAGTTTAAGCTCTTGTCAGCTGTCCGACCATGGCACCCTTCTGGTTCTTTTCATTCCCAGATGGAGAGGAAACTCCCATGAACTCAATAAAATCAATAGACATACATTTAACTGCCAGGCCAAAAAAAAAGTCACCACCTGCATTTAACTAAGCAAATAGGTACGAGCCTCCTATTGGATAATTACTGCATGGATGATTATTTTTCATCTGGCAACAAGTTATTTAACCCCAACTGGTGCAATGAGTTGCTTCTTATTTCTTAAACAACCATGTTAAAGACACATCGCGTGGTCGTGGAAAAGATGTCAGTCTGTTTGAGAAGGGTCAAATCATTGGCATCAAGCAGAGAAAACATCTAAGGAGATTGTAGAAACTACTAAAATTGAGTTAAGAACTGTCCAACGCATTATTAAAAACTGGAAGGATAGTGGGGACCCATCGTCTTTGAGGAAGAAATGTGGCTGGAAAAAAAATCCTGAATGATCGTGATCGGCAATCACTTAAACATTTGGTGAAATCAAATAGAAGAAAAACAACAGTAGCACTCAGGGCTATGTTTAATAGTGAAAGTAAGAGCATTTCCACATGTACAATGAAGAGAACTCAAGGGATTGGGACTGAAAAGCTGTGTAGCCTTAAGAAAACCACTAATCAGTGAGGCTAACTGGAGAAAAAGGCTTTAATTTGCTAGGGAGCATAAAGATTGGACTCTGGAGCAATGGAAGAAGGTCATGTGGTCTGATGAGTCCAGATTTACCCTGTTCCAGAGTGATGGGCACATCAGGGTAAGAAGAGAGGCAGGTGAAGGGATGCACCCATCATGCCTAGTGCCTAGTTATCAGTGCAAGATCTTGGTGAAAAATTAATACAGCACTGGATGGAAATGTATCTTGGGACATTGCAGAAGCTTACTGAAACAATGTCACAGTGAATGCTGCTGTAATCAGAGCTAAAGGCGGTCCAACGAAATAATAGTGTGTGACCTTTTTTTTTTAATGGCGACATTTTTTTGGCCAGGCAGTGTATTTTTACCTTTTGATGTAGGTAAGGCAAGAAAAATTGCAAGCTCGGCGCTGAGGTGTCCGTCCGACCCGTTGCAACCCGGAAGCGGAAGCGAAGACCCCATGCAAAAGAACGCTGCAGCTTATGTTGGCCCTTGGCTCTACCTTCACATCCAGGACAGGCACAGCCTATCAGAGTGTATCAGGGGGGTGACTATGTGTGACGTCATTGATCTTATCTGTTCTGATGGTGGATAATAGGGTGATGTGCAAATCTAAGTGTTGGACGCAAGCAAAAACAATAATGACTCCTTATCGGGTGTTGCCCCTGGGATCGATCATTGTAAGCAGCTGAGACTGATACGATCTGTTCCGAACCAGGTTATGAGTCAGAGTAGACCAGACCGGGCCTCCACCAAGATTAAACTCTTATTAAGTGAAACATTGGAGATGGTGCAGGCTTATTTCCCAATCCCTCAACGAAAAGACTAAAGCCTTATACAAAAAATGAGCTTTTGATTTAGTTATTATTATTTGAATGATGATGCTTTTGGTGGGGAAAAAAAATCCACGAGTTAAGAGTTTTAAAAACTTCTGCTGAGCTGGAGCTTTGGGAAAACAAAGACATACCAGTTTGTTTTGTGCATGCTTCCCATGACTTTGTGACTTAAAAACCAAAACAACAATAAAGCCATTTTTTTTAGCCTTTACTTTTGTTTTCATGTGTCTTGATCCTGTTGCTATCGAACTTTGATCAAGTGCTGAAAGGAGTAATAACTGAGAGTAAATTGTAAAGAGGAGAGGGGGGCAGGAAGCTAAAACTCTTTTGGCACGATCCTAAAAGAGAAGTGTGATTTTTAATTTTTTTATATATGATGTGTCAAAAAGCTTTTATTAGTTAGTATTTTTAACAGCCTTAATATCAGTCACAAGACTCAGAGCATGGGAAAACATTCAATTGTTTCCCTTTTTCTTAATGCTGTGTGTTCTGTGACTGATGTGACTCATAAGGTACAAACTATTTGGCAGAACATCACTTCATAAATCAGCAGACCGTTTCAGCCAAGCTAAGAATATTCTTTTTCTGTATTTTGACACATTGTTATTGTGGACTTCTCGCTACATAGTGGCGCTTCATGGAGTTTTCAGCATTTATATTCAGATTTTCTACATAAACCAAGACTATTCAAAAAGAAAACACTCGACGTAGTGTAGGCTCGTCATTCCTTACCAGTTGCAGCTAGCTGCAGTCAGCTGTGTATGATGACCGAATGAGTAGACAGTTGGAAGTCTGGACATTTGTCCAGTACCAAAATAAAACACAGTTACAGTGTGTCTAAAAAACAGAGTAGCTGACCTTTCCTTTTTAAAGTAACTTTATTTTAACTACAAGTTTACAGAAAGCCACTTGATCATGTCTTTCATTAGAAAAAAAAACGCAGCGTTGCCATCAGTCTCCTCTAACATAGAGAACTACATTTTTAATTTAAAAAAAGTGAACTGACTTTAGTAATATGATGAAATTAAGCTGTTTTATATTGCATATATGTTTGGGTCTTTTAATTTGTATCAAAGTCAATATAACTAAACAAATATAATTGATATTATTGATGTTAAAATCAGTATGGTATTACTTAAGTTTAACAGCAGTCAGGAACAGTTGTATTTTTGTTTTTGAATGAACGCATTGAACATGTACAATCATATTTATACATGTAATTAAACCATGCTTTTATTTTGTCAAGATTTGCCAAACATTCAGGATCTTGTACTGGCCCATGCCTAGAAATAATTTATGTTTTAGGGATTTATTACACATCTCAGTGTGCAGAAAAGGATTGCTGCTCACGTAGGGTTGTGTTTTTGAATCAAACTCATCTTTTCTCTACCAAAGTAAGAATTCTGTTGTTAATGAGAAAATGAAGATTTCCAGGTCTTCAGACTGGTTTAAGTGGCAGAAATGTTTTTTGTTGCTTGTACATCCTGTTTGACTTGGTTTTTATGACCGATTGTTGTGTTTTGAACGCTGTGTTTCACACTCCCCCCCATAAATGAACCCTTACATAAACGGTGCTGTATGGAAAATCTGGAAGTTCAAACCATATCTCTTTCATTTGTTTGGTCACATTTGCTCCTCGCCTGATAAAAACAGGATATTTATTGTACTGCCAGTACTGAATGTACACCATAAGAAACCTTTTTATTTAAGCTTGTATGACAGATACTTAGAGGTGAATGAGATGCAGCTCTTAGAATGAATGAATTAAAAGATGACCCACTGTGGGATTAGTCATAAAAATGAAGGAAATAGATGAAATGTCTTTCTGTATCACTGTCACTTATAAGACATCCTCTTTCTCTGTGGGTCAGAACTGTTCTTCTGTCAAAAATGTTTTTTCTTTTAGATAAATTCCAGTCGTCTTTTGGTGTCGCTTCATGATGTGCCAACTTTTACATAAAAGAAGAAAAGAGCTCTTTCTTAGATGTTTACTCGTGACCTCATGATGCAGACTGAATTCGCGCCACTGATTTAACACAGACTCATGTTTCCCATCCAATTTTTATTTATTTATTGAATGTTTTGTTGAGTTTTGATTTAGTTTTGGCAACAAAACCTTCGTAATAGATTTAAACAAATCAAATTCATTAGAAAGAATGTATCCCACATAAAATTATTAAACTATTTCCCTTCAGAGCTGGTAATGTATTATTTATTTCTTTTTGTCCAGGATGCTGAAATTCACAGCTGGATTAAAAAATAATAATAAATTTTTAAAAAGCAGCATGTGACACTTTCAGAGTGAAATTGGGCTGATTATAGATTATGAACATGTTTCCATTCTTAAGATTTTTTTTTCCTAATGTGCAATATTTTGGTGTGAAAGGCATAATCACATTTAAAATTACTATCTAATGATGTTTCAGTGAATTCAGGTTTGAATTATGTGTCTCATTCTTTAGTCAATGCATCAATCCTGCAGAATACATAGAAAAAAATATATTTGCATCTTGCAGCATTAGAAAACACATCACCAAGTCAGCATGTTTAAGACAAATTTGATGTGTTAAACCTGTTAAGTGCTTATTAAGTGAAGT